GAGGACATGGAATGAGGGATATCACCTCTGACGTCAGATTGGAACTTGGCTGAAAGCAGAGAATACCAGAAAGAAGTTTACCTTTATAATATACATTTTAAATATATATATTTTACATAATTATAAAGAAGTGCTTTATTGACTACGCAAAGACTTTTGATTGTGTGGATCATGAAAAGCTATGGACAACATTGTGAAGTATTAATGTTCTGAAACACTTAATTGTGCTCATGAGGAATCTGTACATAGACCAAAACAGAACAAGGGAATACTGAATGGTTTAAAATTAGGAAAGATGTGCACCAGTGTTGTAGTGTAGTGGTTACAAGTTGGTTTACTAACCTCAAGGTCAGCAGTTCAATACTACCAGTGGTTCTGCAGGAGAAAGATGAGGCTTTCTGCTCCTGTAAAGATTTATAGCCTCGGAAACCCCATACGAGGTCACTATGGGTCAGACTCGATGACACTTAACAACAACAACAATCAATCAATCAATCTGTATGCTTCTCATAATCTGAGAAGCTGGGTTATATGAAGAAAAATGTGGCATCAGGATTGGAGGAAGACTCATTAACAACCTGTGATATGCAGATGATATACTCTTGGCTTGCTGAAAGTGAAGAGGACTTAAAATACTTACTGATGAAGATCAGAGGTCACAGGCTTTAGTATAAAATGACATATTACATTGGGCAAATCTTCTGTACAAGAACTCTTTAAAGTGTTGAAGAACAAAGATGTCAGTTTGAGGACTGTGTGCCTAACCCAAGCCATGGTATTTTCAATAACCTCATATGCATGCGAAAGCTGGACAATGAGTTAGGGTGTTGGAGGAGAATATTGAAAGTACCATGGTTTTCCAAAGAACAAAACAGATGTGTGTTGGAAGAAGTACAGCTAAAGTGCTCCTTAGAAGCCAGGATGGCCAGACTTTGGGACCAGTCACTGGAGTTGGCCCAGGACCATTCACTGTTTTTGTTCTGTTGTGCATAGAGTCATTATGAGTCTGTACCAACTCAATGGCATCCAACAGCAACAGACGAATAAAAAACATAGGGAGAAAAGATGGCAGTTGTCAAAGACTTCATTTTGCTTGGATTCACCATCAACACTCATGGAAGCAGTAGTGAAGAAATCAAACGAGTTCTCCCTCCCTGATGTTGCCCTGGTGGCATGTGTGAGGCCTGCCTGCCCATCCCACCCTCCCAAAAGCGCTAATCATCTCCTACCTGCTGGCTGCCCTAAGGGGCAATCCATCCCCAAGTGCCAAGGATATCAAGATGATTCTGGACAGCATGGGCATCAAGATGGACGACAACTGGCTCAAGATTATTAGTGAAATGAATGGGAAAACATCGAAGACGTTATTGTCCAGGGTGTGGGCAATTTTGTCAGCATGCCTCCTGGAGGTGTTAAAGCTTTTCTTCTAAACATCAAATTTCTATGTTAATTTATCTTTTAACATAGACATTAACTTCCTGGCTTCTTTTGTCTTGTTTTGTTGTAATATGATGGGCATTTTGCTTTGTTTTTTTTGGTAAGTACACCATGATGTGTATAGGTATGGCTGTCTCTTCTAATATGTATTTGTTGTACTTCTTAAATCCTTGCTTTAATATATCTTACACAGATTTCTTCTACATTTTGCTCTTTTTGGGGGGAACTCTGTAACACTCTAGGATTAGCACTAGACTGTGAACCACCAGGTTGGCAGTTCAAATCCACCAGGTGCTCCTTGGAAACCCTATACAGGGTCACTATGAGTGGTAACCAACTCCATAGCACTTAAACAACAACAACAATTGAGAATGTGTGTGTGTGTGTGTGTGTGTGTGTGTATCCACATGTCTTACATCTTCTGTCTCTGACCTTATGTGCCTCACTGTAGAAAGTATTCCAGCTTTTCCTTCCAGGTAATATTATTAACGGTCTCCTTAAGTACGCTTAATCTGGTGTTCAACCCTTTGTTGAATTCTGAACTTCAGTGACTGTATCCTGAATTCTACAATTTGTTCTCTTTTTTTTTTTTTTTTTTTAAGTTTCCCATTTTTAACCTTGGGCTATATCTCCTTGATGAAAAACACACTCATTTTACAAATTAATTCCTATCACTGAAGTGCTGCTGGTCTTTTGTTGTCTGTGCTGTTTTTTGCTTAGATTGTTTCTTCAGATGCATGGACTTCATATGTCATACTCTGTATTTGAAAAGTTATTTTTCAGAACAATCACCAAATCCAAGATCACCTTCCAGAGAGCATTTGTTTGCTGCTGCCTGGGACCATGGTATCACCAACAATTCAAAATCGCCTCGATTCAATTTAAGAATTTGGGATTTTTCTGGCCCATTAGATGGCATAAAGCCAGGCTCTAGTCTGTGTAGTGAAGTGCTAATTCGCTCTTTCAAAGGGTTCTAGGCTCAAGCAAGAGGTCGTACATGTTGACTCCACTATGGTACCCTAAAAGCAACTTCCTTTCATTGAGATCATCTCTAATTGAGGTAAATACCTTCTCATATTACATATGGGAAACTGGATGTCTAGATAGGAAAAGTCATTCTTCAAACATCCTACGGTCAATGAGTAACAATTATAGAATAAACCTAGGCATCTCAAGGCTACTTCTAAGTTTTCTCTTTAGTATTTAGAGATATGTATCTCCAAACATTTGTTGTATGTACTACAACTTCTATGCACATTTACTATATGAAGAATAAAGAATATGAATTAGATTAATGAGACACCAGAGGTGGCTGGTATATAGCAAGGAGAAGAAATACTAGAAAAACAAGGCAGAGCTAGGACAGTGATGAATGTCCTAAGTCAAGATCTAGAACACGGTTTCCCAGTAGTTTCCTCTGAGCACTGCTCCATCGCTCTTGGCCAAAGTCACCATTCATGACTCAACCCTTCACCAACGTGACAACATCCTCACTGTGCTTCTTTCTCCCTCTCAGTTCATGTTAGTTACCTATGGGCATGGCACTGTGCTAACGGAAATGGAAATTCTCAGCAGGAAGTTGAACTGGTTTGTAACCATGATATAAGTATTGTCTTATAAAGCAAGTTTTCTTACCTTATGAATTCTTGCTTTCTTCCTTTTTGTCAGTGCCTACCCCCCCCCCTGCGTTTAGGAGCTCTGGTAGCATAGTGGTTATAAATCGGGCTGTGAACTGCAAGGTCAGCGGTTCGAAACTACCAGCTGTTCTGCGGTATAGGGTCGCTATGAGTCAGTTCTGACTCCACAGCACATAACCACCACCACCACCACCCGTTTGGTATAAAAACATATACAACAAAATATTTGCCAATTCAGCCATTTTTACATGGGTAATTGAGTGCATTGTCAATTCTCTGGGGCCTTTAAGAAGCTGTTTGCTAGGGTATACTTAGCACTGGAACTTTTTCTCAGAAGGAAGCTTGTTCAGAATAGTCAGTTTCACAAAGTCCCAGAATTGACTACTTCAGTATCACCTGGAAACTTATTAGAAATTATAGTTCAGGATTCAGTCGAGACCTCCTGAAACAGTGATTCCAGTGCACATGAAAGTTGGAGGGTCATTTAGCCCAGGGGTGGCCAATGTCTAGCCAACATCCGTGAAATCATTTGGTCTGGTCCTGCCCAGGACGTCAACTGCAGGCAGGACTCAAAAGTCAATAAATCTAGGAGCTTTTTTCATAGCAACATGACTTTATATTAAGTGATGTTACAAATACCTACAATGACCCTTGGCAGATAAATGTTCCCCACCCCTGACTTAGCCCGTTTCCATGATGAGGCAGTCGTAATTAACCTTGGTTAATGACATGTATAGGAAACTGAGATGGGGGATGGCGGGACTAAGCATCAGGTTTGAAGATCTAGAAATGACCAGCTTGAAAAGATGTGGAAGAAGAGCCAATCTTCCAGAATGGGGGAGTGGCAAACTTTATACTGTTTAAAAGTCAGATAACAAATGTTTTAAGAATTTGCGGGTCATGCAATCTTTGCCCTAAGTGTGCTGCTGTTATAATAAAGAGCTCTGGTAGCTTAGTGGTTACGAATTGGGCTACTAACCTCAGGGTCAGCAGTTCGAAACTACCAGCTGCTCTGCGGGAGAAAGATGAGGCTTTCTGCTCCCGTAAAGATTTACAGCTTCAGAAACCCTGTACAGGGTTGCTATGAGTCGGAACCGACTCTATGGCACATAACAACAACATTATAATATGATAGCAGGTCTACCCAATGCTGTCAAGACAATTCCAACTTGTAACAGCACTGAGTATAGTACAACTCCTTAAGGGTTCTGAATATAAATCTTCATGGGTGCAGACAGCCTGGTGGGTTTGAACTGCTAATCCTGTGGATCCTGTCATCAGGGATCCTGAAACTGCTGTAGACAATAACATAAATGAATGAGCATTTTGTTCCTACAAACTTTTGTTTACAAAAAGAGATGGCAGGCTAGATTTGACCTTAGGACTGTAGTTTGTTGACCCCTGTCCTAACAATGAATTCAAAATTCTTAAAGCTGCAGAAATCCCTTCTTCGCGCTCTATGTAGCAAGAACTGCTTTGGCTGAGAGAGAGATATTCTTGCTTCTGTAAGATTTACAGCCTTGGATATCCTAGAGAGCAGTTCTATCCTGTCCTGTAGGTTTACTATGAGTTGGAATTGACCCCATTTCAGTGGGAGAATGGTGGTAAGCTCTAGGTTTCCCAGCCCCATGCTCATATGTTCGGTTCTCTCCTGCTTTTCTCCTTAAAGTGGGCCCTATAGCTCTCTCTCCAAGCACGTTTTAGTGCTATCTAAATAGTGTTCCAGTGTCTGGACTTGGGACCACTTAATATTGTCCTTGAAAGAGTAAGGTAACTTCTTTAACCAATTTAGGCCCATGACTGAAGCAATAGTGATTAAAGGAGTCAGTGACCAGCTTGAAGTCAAGCCTGGACCCTTGAGGGTCAGGGAGAATGTTCTTTGTCCCAGTGCATGGTCTCTTCCTTGCAGATGCCCACCAGGCTGTCATGGCTGAATCAAACACCCAAGATACTAGTTGCCAGGAAGGTATCCTCTCCAGGCCCAGCGGACAGATAAGTGGTCAAAGCCTCACAGTCAAAAACAACTACTGCCAGCTGTTGGAAATATTGCGGCATTTACAGCAGACCATGGAGGAGAACTTCCTGCAGCTGACGAGGCACAGGCAGCAGGATCTGGTGCTGGAAGAGCAGAGACTTGACCTGGAGCAGCAGTGTGTTCAAGCTATTCAGGAGCAGAAAGTCCTTGTGGACAATTTAATGGGTCAGCTGGCCGACATCCTGCAGTCTGGGTCCTGGAGTGACCTAGGGTTGCAATTGGCTCCACCTTCCGTGGACAGTAGTAGTAATGACGATGGTGGGCAGGGAGATCAATCACCCAGGCAACCTAACCAGCTACTTCCCCTGTCAAGCGAGTCCCAAACTACATTTTCCATCCATGACCTCTCCAATCGTGGGAAAGATATGTCTGACTTATATCACTTCAGCTTCAAACACTACAACGCCTACCAAGCAGACAAATACCACAAGACTTTGAACACCTTGGTGAGAATAGGGGAGTATGTACCAAGGGCCCAGGCACTTAGATTTACTTGAGGATTCTGTGCTCTCATTTAATCTTCACAGCCCATGAAGAAAGTATTGGTGTTGCCTTATGAGGAAAGGAGCCCAGAAATAAGGGGATGTTTATTTCTTCAAGAGTTTGAGTTTTTTCCCTAAATCCCAGCTTATAATCACTAGAAGCTGGACACTGGGGTCACTGTAGTGAGTGAATCTGCCCTCCAGGGACATAGCCTAGAGATGGCTATAGTCCACTAGGAGGAAAGCAAATGATAGTATCCCTAAAAGCATTAAGGGATACCCACTTCAGGTGATCTGAAAGGTCTGTCTTTAAGACTGAATTAGTCCATCGCACTGGGAAGGGAAGAACACTGTGCATGGCTGAAGGTTTGGAGGTTTTGGAGTGATGGCGAAAGGAGGCCCAAGTGACTAGAGTAGGGACAATGAGCACTATGGTAAGAGGTGGGCAGGGGTAGGTAGGTAGTCCATGGTATGGTGTTAGGATATTATCAAGGGTTAAAAGGAGGTTAAAGACAGTCAGGGTCTCAGAGTAGCTCTGCAGCCAGAAGGCGGTGGAAGACTCTGGGTGAACCTCATTAGCCACACCTCCTGCTTCTCTTCCTGTCTGATGGGTGGGTAAGGACCATCTGCTTTCCTGGGTGTTAAGTTGGAGCTCCCCACTGGGCTCTAAGGCGACTGTACTTCCTCCAGTAACGTGGACTCTGTCCATCACCTGAGGTACCATGACTAGCAGGCTACTCAAGCTTTCTGAGCTATATCGCTTTTAAAGCAGGGAATCGTAATAACGCCTTCTTGGAAGTTGTGAGCGTTAAAGCAACTCACATGAAACAGTCTAATGTCTTGGAAATAAGATAATTCCATGACTAGTAGCTGGTACATAACATAGCCACGATTCCCAAGTACCTATGTGTCTCTAAAGGGAGAAATTAGCAAGCTGTAAGGTAATGGGCTAAGGAGCTCTGGTAGCGTAGTGGTTATGAGTTGGGTTGCCAACCTCAAGGTCAGCAGTTTGAAACCACCAGCCATTCTGCAGGAGAAAGATGAGGCGTTCTGCTCCCGTAAAGATTTACAGCCTCCTAAACCCTGTGCAGGGTCACTATGAGTTGGAACCAACTCCATGGTACTTACCAGCAACCAACAAAATATTGAGCTAGTGGAACATTTTCTCACATTTAAGATTGTTGTGGGGCAGTGAGATCCAGCTAGGCTAATAATCCAAGATGGATATTAGCATATGGTCAGTTTTAATGGGGTCCACGTAGACACAACAGTAGGACTGATCTCAAATTCCTCTCATCTTCAGGGCTTCATTAACCTCTGTACCAGTGAAAACAAGCTTTGCACCGACTTGATGATGGCAAGGGTGAGCTGTGGTCTGTCTGTGCTGTGTGGGGACACTCCCACCAGGGTCAGGCCTTCTCAAATATTCCTGATCATGTGGTATAGATATGAGGGGGGCTTAAAGTTCATGGAAAAATTCTTGTTATCTTTTAATTCCATTTGTCCACAATCATTTTTAATTCCTCTTAAAAAAGAAGGGAGTTCTAGTGTGGGGCTGTAGGATAAGCACAGGACTGCTAACCACAAAGTCATTGGTTCAAAACCACTAGCTGCTCTTCTGAAGCCCTATACAGGGTTGCTGTATGTCAGAACTGACCCAGTGGCACTTAACAACATAAAAGACAGAGGGGCCTGGGAGTTTGGATAAATAACTCCTACAATTACATATCCTAACCTCTTGGCCTTAGTGTGTTCAGTGGTATTCTCTGGATATGTTGATGACAGCTAGGTTGTCAAAGGAACTTCTGGCCCAAATATAAAAGATTAAGACTGTTAAGTGCCTTTGAGATCTGACTCAGTGACCCTGTATAGGGTTTCTGAGGCTTCTTCTTGTGTTTTGTTTTTTTTTAAAATCTTTTTTGGAACAGAAAGCCTCATCTTTCTCCCTTGGAGCAGCTGGCAGCCTCGAATCATGGACATGGGTTTGCAATCCAGTACTTAAACCATATTGAACCACTTTGCTCCCAAATGTCAGATTGGGAAGGTTTTTCAATTAAAGCACTCTCTAGTGAGTTGTCAGTAATGGAAGATGAGAGGAAGAAAGTGTCGGCTCATTAATAAGAATACTGTGTGCATACCCACTCCCTTTATAGGCGGTCATGCAGGTGTAGGACAAACATGTGTGCGTACGAGGAGGAGTTGAGTTGCCTTTTAATTCTTCTTTGCTAACAGTTGAGTAAGAGTGACATGAACTACATTGAGGAGGCCCTACTGCAATACCCTGACTGGAGAGGACAACCATTGTAAGTACATCCAGACTCCTGTACCTGGTTCAGACACCTCACCGAGGAAGCTTCAAGGTACCAGAGTCTTGGTGGGATTGCCTCCTTATTTCTTTGGTTAGTGGTGGTGGTGGTGTGCCATGGAGTTGGTTCTGACTCATAGCGACGCTGCGTAGCATTTCCGAGACTGTAAATCTTAACAGGAGCAGAAAGCCTCATCATTCTCCCACGGAACTGCTGGTTGTTTTGAATTGCTGACCTTGAGGTTAGCAGCCTGACTCTTAACCACTACGCTACCAGAGCTCCTTTCTTTAGTTAATAAGTCATGCAAAATACCTAGAATGAAAGATCAGGAAGTGGCCTGGCCTCGTAGAGACAGCACTGTCATAATCACTCAGAAGGTCTGCATTCTTGTTCCAGCTCACACACTTCCTATCTGTGTGACAAGGTATTGATAACCTTCATTGGTAGCCCTGTAAAATAAGGTTGAACTTCGTAGCAAAGATTTTTCTAGTCTGGACACTCTATCCTTTTAGAAGGACTAAAGTGTGGGCTTTGAATGAGGAAGAGCCCCTAGACTTGGAAACCACAGTCTTTCTGGGTCTGTCTACAGCTTACGGGAAGAAGTGGCCAGGTTTCTGACCTATTACTGCAAGACACCTGCTCCCCTTGATCCAGAAAATGTGAGTCCATTTCTCGGCCCTGCTGCTACTCTGCTCAGGGTTATATGTTGAGTGGGGGATGGTTTTCTAGGGGGCCATGGAGAACCAGTGGAGAGTCTCAGGGCTTGGGCAGAGTGAAGCTGAGTTGGTCCCACTTAAGGAGAATCCTGGTTTCTCTGTCCTTCTCTAAAGGAGACAGGGTGGCTGCTGCTTTTCTACCTGGGTCTTGCATTTTGACTGAATGTGTCTGCATTTTTGTGTGCCTTTTAGGTGGTGGTTCTAAATGGCTGTGGCTCTATCTTCTCAGCACTGGCCATGGTTCTGTGTGATGTAGGGGGTAAGTGGATGCACCACCAGGCTTCCGTAGTTAGAGCATATGAGTACTGGGCTTGGAGGGAAAAAGACTATTTGGATCAAGGTCTTTCTCTCAAGTTCTGGGATTTCTCCTGTTAACCAGTATATCTTCCTATTCTTTCTGTGAGAATATGCGCCCTCTCCCCCCATTTACTACTACAGAAGGGGAGCATGTGATGATCTTCAAGGTAGTGTGCCCAGGAATGACAATGGGAACCAACTTACTATATTTAGATGGACTTTTGTTCACAATTCTAATACTGAGAACCCTGGTAAATTGAGTTAGATTTTATGGACTTCTACTTTTGGTGGAAAAACATCTTTTGTTTTTTTGGGGCCAGATACGACACTGAGATGTGCTCTCAAACTCTATCTAATCAGTGCCCAAACAAGAGTTTGATTGTAATGCGCTCCGACTGCATTGAAGCAATGGCCAGGGTGGCTTGTGTCTTTCAAAGGTATAGGTCATCGGTTAGCCTATCAAAGAGGTCAAATGACTCAGAAGCAAAACAGAAGCTCACCAGGTCCTGATAACCTAAGCCATGTTGAGAGGAGAGCCCTACCTGTGTATGGACCAGGACTTCTTGTGTTTGGCCAGAAGCCAACAAGACTTCCCAAAGGAACGTTGCTCCACCTGCTAGCAAGCCTGGCTTGATTCATGCTCTGTATTCTGAGCTATTCAGTGATAACGCTTCCTTTTGTCCTTCTCTAGTATACCTACCTCCAAGAGGAAACTTGTGACTACCGCCACCCTTCCCTCCAAGTATTGTCTATCATTGTTTGTTGTTGTCAGGTGTCTTTGAGTTGGTTCCAACTCATAACAACCCAGTACGTAATAGAACAAAACACTGCCTGGTCCTGCGCCAGCCTCATAGTTACATTTGAGCCCATTGCTGCTGCCATGGTGCCAATTCATGTCATTGGGGTCTTTTCTTTTTGATAACCTTCCACATTACCAAGCACATGATGTCCTTCTCCAGAGACTGCTCCCTCCTGAAAACATGTCTGAAGTCTGAGAGACGAAGTATTGGATTTAAGAATGAAATTCTATGGGATCTGAACCCAAGGGTACTAATCCCCAGGCTGAAGAGACTACCACCAAACTGTCTATTGGTCACTTTGCTATTATTCTGAGGAGGTCTGGCAGGTCCTGACTGAGAGACTCTGGACTTAACAGCTTTATCCTCTTGATCCTTCCAGAGGTCTTCCTGATCCCCACACCCTTCTACGGTGGTCTCATCTTCAGCTCCCACATTTATGCGAAAGTTGAACTGTTCTTCATCTACCTGGACAGTGAGGTCAGAATCAGATCCCTTCCTATATGAATGATGGTGGGGAAGTCATGTTGAAGGCAAGTTGGGCTAATGGCATTAGTATGAAGCTCAAGGATTATTCTGAGTTTACGGGAATGAGGAATCGAGGCTTGGAAGCTTTCCAGATGACAATTCTCAGCACTGTTTTCCAGATCACTGAGGAGAACACCCAACCTTTCCAGCTCACTGTGGACAAGTTGGAGCAAGGTCTGCATGAAGCCAGGCTTAAGGTAAGAAATTGATATTGGCTCTAGAAAGTGAGCACTGAGACTGCTGCAAATTCTTCACCAAGAAGAGTTGGGAAATGAGCCCAGGTGAGCTTTCCCCAGGACTCTTGTCCCTTATCTATACCAGTCCCCAGAGTTCTTTCTGCTTCTCTGTAAGAAGGTAGCTGCTGCTTCAAGAGCCTCCCTAGTCCTGGATGAAGTACCCTGATCTATAAAGGACCATTGGCTGAATTGGAGATTAAAATATACAAGATTTGTTTCACTCAATTATTCGTCTTATTTTATAGGGGAAAAAGGTCAGAGGTCTCGTGCTAATCAACCCTCAGAATCCTCTGGGTGACATCTACTCCCGAGACTCATTGAAGGAATATCTGGAATTTGCCAAGAGGTATATGGGCTTTACACCCTTGGTGACTTGATGAAATCCCTAAAAGGGGAGTTCACTCACTCATGGTCAAGAAGTTAGAATCTAGAAATAACTTAACCCAATCTTGTCACATATAATACTCACAAAGCTGTATAGAGCAAAGTAAAGTTGAAATGGAAGGAAATTGTACTCACCACTTCAACCAATGGAGTCCTGGTATGGTGCTGTGGGTTAATGCACTGGACTGCAAAGTTAGTTTGAACTCCAAGGTCGGCAGTTCAAGCTCACCAGCCACTCCTTGGAAACCCTATACAGGGTCGCTTTGGGTCAGAATCAATTCAATGATGCTTAACAACTTCAACCAAACTTCTCTAGGCTTTGATCATCTACAGATACATACAAAATAATTGTAATAGAGCTTTGTTGCCCTTCTACTTAGTGTAGGCTAAGTACTTCCCAGCATTTAATTCTAAATGATTGGGCCTATGGTTCTGAGGAAGGCAGACTCTTGGACCTTGTGGGATGAAAACACATTCCTATAGAACTTCCAAGGAGCTTTGGTATGAGATGGTTAAGCAGCTCAGCTGCTCACTGAAAGGTTGACAATTCAGACTCCTCTACCAGCTGTGGCTCCCTGGGATAAAAGACTTGATCTGGGAAGGTTAACAACCTAGGAAACCCTATGAGCAGCTCTGCTGTTGCATTGGATTAGTATGAATGAGTCAGAACTGACTTAATGGCACACAGCAACATAGAACTTTCACATCCCATTCCGGAGAGCAAGTTCACATCAGTTGGTACTGGAGTCCTAAAACAGTGCGATTAGGACAGAAAATCTTCCAACTTTTAAGAAGAGATGGATTTATGCTAGCTCTGTGACTAACCCATGGCTACAAGTGAAAGAGCACTGGAGATGATGAGCTGAAGTTCTACAGCACTAGGTTCAAATGCCAGCTCTGCTGTTAGTACCTGTGGGCTCTGACTCATAGTGAACTGGAGGAGAAGCTGGTGGGTTTGAACCACCAACTTTGCAGTCCAGTGCTTATTCTATAGCACCACACTGTAACTCTCTCAAATGTCAGCTCTATCACTTGCTAATTGAGGGTATTTTATGTCTTAGAACCTTAGATTTTCCATTTGTGAAATGGACATGATAGTATTACTCTAGAGGGTTTGTGGGGGAAGAAATGAGATGAAACGCATAGCCTGATATTACCACTCAGTACCCCAAATAGGAGCGCCTGATCTTCAGAACCCTACTTTTTAGAAGACCCAGCCCTTTTCTGTTGCTGTAATAGCAGAAGACTTAAATCTAATGTTTTAATTGTTTTCCTCGTGTCCTATCCCTTCTGTAGTATCCTCCACAACCAGGTGGAATGATCCCTTTTAACGTAGTGCCTGCTTCTTCCTTACCATGTCTCTTAGAAGGGTTGGATGGGCTGTTGGGCAGTAGAAGTATCTAATCTTTATCTAGTAAAGACCAAGGAAGTGAATTATGACTAGAGAACCTAGATACTAATTTCTTTTGTCCAATCTGCAGGCATAAGCTACATGTGATTATAGATGAGCTTTACATGCTGTCTGTGTTTGGTTACAACGTCACATTCCACAGTGTCCTGAGCTTGGAAAGGTGAGTTGGTCTCAGCTGGAGTTGGCAATGAAAATCATGATGGTCCTGTTTTGTGTGGTGAGTTGTGTACCAAAAACTGAATTGTTTGTGTGCTCTGTACTGAGTTACCTAGCAAGGGGAGTGTGAAGATGAGTGAAGCATCATCCCCCACTCCCCACAAGGTATTTTCTAGTCTAAAAGTCACAATTATACAAGATGATGAAGGTAAGGTGAAGACAAAGTAGGAAGTGCACTGTCAAGCCAACCTAAAGACTTAGAGCACAGGGAAATCAGAGAAATACTATATCTATCTTAGAAATACCTTAGAGACTTAGTATCGGGCACTTGGATAAGATTCCAGAACTGTCTTGTTGTTGTTAGGTGCCATTGAGTTGGTACCGATTCATAGCGACCTTATGCACAGCAGAACGAAACACTGACCGATCCTGGGCCAACCTCACTACAGTTGCCACGCTTGAGTCTATCGATGCTGCCACTTGGCCCATCCATCTCGTTGGGGGTCTTCCTCTTTTACTCTGACCCTCTCCACCTTACCAAACATGATATCTTTCTCTAGCAACTGGTGGGTTTGAACTCCTACCAATATGTCTGAAGTATGAGAGACAAAGTTTGGCCATCTTGGCCTCCAAGGAACACTTCTTCCAAAAAGGATCTATTGGTTCTTTTGGCAGCCCATGGCACTTTTAGTATTCTCCTCCAACACCATAGCTCAAAAGCATCAATTAATTCTTCTCTGGTCTTCCTTATTCACTGTACAGCTTTCACATGCCTATGAGGTTATTGAAAGTACCATGGCTTGGGTCAGGCGCACCTTAGTCCTCAAGCTGACATCTTTGCTCTTCAACACTTTAAAAAGATCTTGTGCAGCAGATTTGCCTAATGCAATATGTCATTTGATTTCTTGACTGCTGCTTCTGTGAGTGTTGATAGTTGATCCAAGAAGAATGAAGTCCTTGACAACTTCAATCTTTTCTCCATTGATGAGAATGTTTATTGGTCCAGTGGTGAGGATTTTTGTTTTCTTTACATTGAGATGCAATCATAATGAACTGTTTTAGAGACTCAGTATTCTAGCAAGAAAACTGAGGGAAGTGCATGCCTGGCAGAAGGAATAGTAGCTGCCTATGAAAGGGCCATGGGAAATAGGTGAGTACCTTTTAGGAGTGGTGACTAACCAAATGCCAAGCAGGTGGCTTGGGACCAGGTATAGGAGAGCCATGATCCTGGACTTCCATCAGGGGGCATTTGGGAACTGTTCCATCTAGTCCCCCTTGATATACTTAGTGCTGACTTTTTTACTTCATTTAAACTGCAAGGTCAGAAGTTCAGGTTCACCAGCTGCTTCTTGGAAACCCTATACAGGGTCGCTATGGGTCGGAATCGACTTGACGGCATTTAACAACAATAACAGGGCAATATTGGAGTCCTGGTGTGGCTCTGTGGGCTAATGTGTCAGACTGCAAAGTCATTTGAACTACAAGGTCGGTGGTTCAAGCTCACCAGCTGCTCCTTGGAAACAATATGCAGGATCACTATGAGTTGGCATCAACTCAATGGCACGTAATAACAATAGAGCAATATTGAAGTCTGTTGACCCAGCAGTCTGGGAATAATCTCAAATCCTTTACTATCTCTTCTCTAGCTTGCCTGACCCCAATAGGACCCATGTGATCTGGGGTACCAGTAAGGTAAGTCCGGGCTGTTGGTTCTTGGGTATAGAAGGAAGGAGAGCCAGGAATAGAAGTCAAACAAACCAGGTGTTCTCTCCCCTACTAATCTTCTAGGATTTTGGCATCTCTGGCTTCCGCTTTGGCACTCTGTACACCCACAGCAAGGAAGTGGCCGCTGCCATGAGTGCGTTTGGCTATTTCCACAGCCTCTCTGGCATCACCCAGTACAAGCTATCCAGGCTGCTTCAGGACCGAGGTACTGAGCTCTATTTCAGGCCAGGAATTCCTGGGTTATGCTTTCAATACATCTAAACCTTGTTCATAGTTTGGGGTTTGTCCTCATGGCAGGACATGAAGTTTGAAGAAAGTTAGGCTGCAGATCCATGCATTGGACAGATGCAGGTGCTGGTCTGAAACACAGAATGGGCTTGAACTTGGGATGTCTGGTAGCCCATACATAGTTTGCTTAGAAAGGGAGTGGATAGCTGATTACACAGAAGGTGGGAAGTTGAGAAATCAATCTTCATGTGGAACTCTCTTTCCTCTCCAATCCCTTGCTGGCTGTAGGGAACAATTGCAAAGAAACGATATCTGTATCATCTAATAATGTGGGGGCTTCAAAAGTGAATCAAAAATTTCTATTACCCTTTAATTACATTTTTTCCATGAACTTTTTGAAACCCCCTGTACATTTAAAAAAAAAACAAAACTTTATTGCGAATTGAGTGAAGGTTTAGAAAACAAGCTCATCAGTCCCACATTCAACAAGTCATACAACGATTGCAATCCCCTCCATGTACCATCAGTTAATAATATTTGATCTCTATTCATTTAATGCTTGCATTCATCCTGTTTTCTACTACACTCACCTTTCCTGTGCCAACCTCCCTATCACACACTTAGCATGTGTCTATCCTCTACCAGACTTGTGGTGTGGTGCTGTAGGATAAGCACTGGACTGTGAACCACAAGGTTGGCAGTTCAAAC